ACGCCTCGTCAAGCCGGGTGTTCTGCCAAGCAGCCGGCAGGAGCGCAGCGCTGGGTAGACCTGGTAGCCGTAGAGACATCAGCCCCGTTAGCAGTCTGGAAATCTTGGCCTGAGTAATGGTGACAGCGGTGCCACAGTTTCTCAGCACGATACGTCGTGTAAGTACTCTTCTATCAGTTTTTAATTTCACGTACAGTGAAACAGGGCAGGTTAATAACAGCCTGCCACTCCATCCTCTCCAACTCCTTACTGTAAACGCTCTTTTAAGTTCCCACTATGGCAGACAGTCCCAGCCTTGTAGGTCTGTCTCCTCGCAGAGGGTTTTGCCAAGTGTCCGGATCGCTCCTGGCACTCTCCCCAGTTCCCTTTAGCTCTCTAACACTGCTTTCCAGACCGGGCTGCCAGTCCCCAGAGCGCTCGGCGGAGGCAGCTCCAGGGATCAAGTGTAAGCACAGCGATCGTCACAGACATGCTTCTCAAGCGTAAGCGGTGCGGAGATTACCACCGAGCTACATAAAACGACCCCTGGTCCCTTTCTTGGCTGGACAGATGTACACATAAATCATGAACAGATCTGGGCTGAGCTCCCCATGTTGAATAAACATTCAGTTCTCCAGTGCTTTGTCTGTTTGCCTGTATTTTTCTAGTATCTCTGACATTCCTCACAATCTTCACCGATCCTTATTAGCCTGAATAATTGTCACCCATTTATTCTGCTGCTACAGTCAAGGACTGTACTACATCGCAAACTACACTGTTAACGCTTTGCCATGATGAAAACTGACTGTGTAACCCTAAAGTTTTAAGCCTTCTGGGAGTACCTTTTACTAAAGGCACCAGATCTCACTCCCTACCTGCTTAGCTTTAGTAGAAGCGCATGGCCTGGCTGAAGAACTTTAAGAAGTCTAAATAAATAGCATCACATAATTCTCCCCTTTTTTCCATGCCTTACTGACATTTTCAAGTAGTTGTGCTGTGACTGTGATGATCTAAGGATTAAGTGAAATAAGATTTGTGGGCAGAGGTAATAACTTTTTATTAGACCAGCTGATATAGCTGGAAAAAAATATACAAGAAGCGTTTCTGTGCCTGAAAGCTTGTCTGTTTTTTCCAGCTATATCAATTGATCTAATAAAAGATACTATCTCCCTTTACAAACCTTGACATGTTCAAGGTTCAGTAAGTGAGACGTGATTTTCCTTTTTTGAAGCCAGGCTGATCAGGCTGTATTAAATCCAGATACTTTGTTCTTCTCTTTTAATTATGGATTCAAGTGTTCATGAGGTAGAGTGGGCAGCTTTCACCTAGCCCCACACCTCCCCGCCAGCACTGTCGGAATATGACCCGGCACTTTCCGCTTCCCATCCGCTCCTCCGAAGAGCCACCGCGGCAATGCAGCCACGCAGGTACCAGGAGGCGGAGGGGTCTGCAGCCCCCAGGCTGCAGTAGCTACTGCAGGATGTCTGAGTACAAGCGTACACTTACAGCTGACCTTCTTGATCAGGAAAAGAGCATCCTAGGAGGAGCGTGAGAGTGTCCAGAGCAACATCTGCTAAAGCAGGAGGGCATCCCTGGGGCGGGGATCCTTGGGTAGGCGTGCATTGCCAGCCGTACAGGGTGCCACCTGGGGTGGACAGATCACGAAGCAGCAGGACGTGTGGGCTCACTCCTCTAGAACTGACACACCCCCACCCCAAGCCCCTCCTCACAATTCCCCCAGGTCCCCATCCCAGAGACCGCCCCACTAGCACATCCCAGCTCCCCCCATGACCTGTGGGGCTGCGTGCTGCCCACCCCGGCGGCAGGAGTCTCCGGCCGGTTGAAGGAGGGTGCAGTCCACGGGCGGGAGAGAAAACATTGAAGCACTTGGGGAATGGAGCCTTGCCTTGGAACTTTGACTGCTGACTTCAGGGATGCTTGATGAGAAGAGCAGACGTGCAGAAAGAATGAAACCTGAAATCTGCCCTGCCTGGAGTCTCTCTGGACTCCTCCATTCGTCGGAATGGGGTCTGCCCCCCACCCTGACACATTTTTGCCCGCGTAGGGAGAGCAATGGGGGAGGAAGAGTTTCCATCCATTGTTTCATGTTGTGGCTGAAATGGATCTTGCTTGCTTTAAACGTTGGGGCCACCTTTTCTGAACAGCTTAATTCTCCCCTGCCCCACTGGTGGTGCTGCAGGCAGTGTTCGATCCTGGCCCTAGAGCAGCCCCACTCCGCTGAGGAGGCCGTTAACAGGACAAACGTCTGGAGCTGCTGTGGCTGTCTAAAGCCGTTTTCTGTGCTTGCTCCCTGCCCAGTTCAGGCCCATGGTGCCAGGGTTTCTCCTTGCCAGTGCACGGTTTCAGGTGTGTTCTCAGCTCTCAGCCTGCCTTACTTGTTCAGTTTCGTCCTCGCTGCTGCCATCCGCTCTCATCTGAACAGCCAGCAGGAACTGCACGAGCACTCCTTTCACAGACAAGTTCTCACACCTGAGCATGGCCTCTCTCCACCTGGTTTCAACCCAAACCCGATCACATAGAACAGGACTGACAGAGCCTCCCACTAGTGCTGTCTGCTGTTGATTACTCCTCGACTGCACCTATGAATAGAGCTTGTGTCTGGTCCTCCTTCTATCCAATGCAAAGCTGGGAGAGTCTGGGAAAACAATCCCACTTGAGCTCTCCCACATGCTTCTTGCCCTAGACCACCTTTCGGGGGAGGGCACACGCACGTAGTTACAGCCACAGCTACGACGGAAAGCCCACACGGTAGCACTGCTGCGGGAGAGAACAACGACCCCCTTCTTCAGAGCGGCCAAAGGTTTTGTTAAGCGGCTCTCTGGCAGCAGCAGGATTTACGGGATGCAGAGCCGTTCCAGTAGCAACCAGTGACATCGTGCTGCGCCTCTCTTCCTCCCCCAGTCCTCACGTCAGGCGGACAGCCAGACTCCCGGTTTCGACATGGGCTGATTCATTGAAAACCTCAAGCTTCCACTGGGAAGCGAAGCGCTCGGCAAAGGCTGCTTCCGTAGCCTGCTCCACGGGAGTGGCACGCTGGCAGCTCCAAGCACCTCAGTTTAATTTTTCTGCATTTTTTTTCCTGCGCACGTGCCAGAAGTATTTACCCCATCTCTAAGGGTTTCTGGAGGAGAGAAACAACCGCAAATATCCTGTTATTTGTGCGGGCTCCAGGACAAAATCTCCTAACGATTGCAAAGCTTCAGACAAGAGGTTCCTCCCTCTGGAAGGTGGAAGGGGCGTGGATAGGCAGAAAAGGCCCACGCATTTGCCTTGATCTCCACGAGAACAGGCGCTGTCTGCGTTACATCGGCCCCGGCTCAGGCTGTCGAACCCCCAGCAGGGTTACAGCATATCACAGAATGTTCAGGGCTGGAAGGGACCTCTGTGGGTCATCTAGTCCAATTCCCCGGCCAAAGCAGGGTCACCTACAGCAGGCTGCACAGGGCTGCGTCCAGGCGGGTCTTGAATATCTGCAGAGAAGGAGACTCCACAACCTCCCTGGGCAGCCTGTGCCAGTGCTCCGTCACCCTCAGAGTGAAAAAGTTCTTCCTCATGTTCAGACGGAACTTCCTCTACTTCAGTTTGTGCCCTGTTGCTCCTTGTCCTGTCGCTGGGCACCACAAGTGTGCCAAGTGTGAAATATTTCCTTCGATGCTCACACGCTCAGTAGCCCCGTCGGGCTCTCCCTCAGCCCCGCTGGACTCCAGCATGTCCAAGACACACAACCTGGGAGCGATCGCTGCTCGCAGCCACCAGCGGCGGTTCCAGCGGTCGTCAGACCATGGAGCTTCCCCACCTCTTCTCAACCCAGAGAGAGCAGCTCCCAGGGCAGAGAGCGAGTGGCCCAGTACTGGAACCGGCACCACACCGACACCGTACTTCTCTGCTGTTGTTTCTAAGCGGTAAGTTCCTGCTGTCAACCGGCAACAGAACACTCTGCTCGCCGCCATTAACGACACAACCTCACATTTTGTACCGGTGCATTTCATCCCATTTCCACCACAT